AGCACCGGGAGGCAGACCTTATAGGTTGTTTTAGGGGGATGAGGATGCTCTGCCCTTCTCCAGGGTGAGTTTGTTCAATTGTTGCACATTCGTCCCTTTCCTTGAAGCATCCTTCATTTCTGGATCTGAGCAGAAACCAAAAGAAAAGGAAAATTTATAGACCTCGCCGGACTTTTTAAAAATTGATATGATAGCAGGTGGCGTGGACACAGAGGATGCCACGTAGAAATTAATTTTTCATTTGTTCTCTAGGAAGAGAGCTATTTTAAATGTGCCAACTGTGATGTATGTTTTCCTTCACCCATAAATCAACTTTCTCCTGGGAATGTTAGATCTATATATTGACCTGCATGGACCATTTTCCCTTAAGCTTTTGTACCATTAATCATTAAGTAATTTTCAGGGAAGGATGTTCACAGGGAGGTTGCTGTAACTCTTATAAAGTTCTTAGCAGACAGCCATGCTGGATGACCAGGCTGGAGACCACAATTCTACAGCCATCACCACCTGTGAAAATCAAACTCAGTGATCTGCCCCAAGGCGGAGGAGCAGGAGCCCTTCCCTAGTGGCCCTTTAAGAATGAAACAGAAGGGAGACTAGAAAAGTCACTGCCTAGAGTAGCCACTCAGGAAGAGATGGGGCTACGATCACTCAGGTAGCCGGCATCCAACTCCAAGCATTCTGGGTAAAAAATAGGCATGACTTGGGAGGTACAAGTTGCAGAAGAGGTACAGGTGAATCTTTTCTGCAACCACAAAATCTCTCACCAAATTTCTACACAGTCATACTGCTTGAGATTGCCCCAGTTAAAGATTCGCTTGAACGTGACATGGACACATGATCTATCAGTCTTTCACACACTGGTGTAATTTAGATTCAACCCATGACTTTTTTATTAACATATAACCACAGTCAGTGATTTTCCCTTAACAGAGAATGACTAATGGGAGTTTTGGAGAGAGGAAACAGACACAGAAGAACAGGAAAAGTTTGACTTTGAAGTACAGGCTCTAAGCAGGAAGCAGTAGGGCTACCAATGCCTCAGACATACACAGCTTTGCAAGAGAGCCCAGAGCACTAGACTGTAAGAACCAGGTTCTCAGAAGGGGATGGTGAAGGCAACGTGCATGTCTCTCTTTGCAAAAGCTGCCAGAGGCAGGCTCCCCATGAGGACTCTGTGCTAAAGAACCTGGCCCCACGACACGAACACAACTGGGGTCACTACAACCCCAGAACAGCAGTCAAACAGGGAACTAGCCCAGGTACCATATCTGAAAACACTGGATGCAGAATTCGGACTTTTCAGGCTTTTGAAAAGTGGCAATCTGTAGATCTCATATCAGTAGCCTAACATTTTATTAGGTCCAAATTCATTACAAAAAGTGTTTGTTAGAGCTTTTTAAATGTCAAATTTTCAGATTATGGGCCTGGACAACAGCCCAAAGCCCTCCTCCCACAATCTCTATAACTCAGCAAGTAAAATGTGTTATCTAGCCCCACATGAGGCCCTAGACAACAGGATGGGACCGTATTAGCATCTGTTCAGCCTTTAGTTACTGAACTTTTCCAGGTTTAATGTAGTACAGATGAAGGAATGCAGTGGCTGGTCTCGGCATCCACACTACCAAGAGGCCCTGAGACGCTATGGGAAAGCCCTGGGCTTGCTGTCTAAACACACTTATCTCTGCTGTTGATTAGCTTGGAGACCTTGGGTAAACCAGTTATCCTCTCTAGCCTCCGTTTGATTACCTACAAAATGTGACTGAAAATATCTCATAGGGCTGTTTGGAGAGCTAAAGGTTTTGGAATTACAGTGTCTTACAGACTTTAAACTGCTGTTCAAGTATGATGTCATTCTTTTTACTATATTAGGAAAATGAAGTAAAACGGTGTATGTAAAAGTCTGTAAAGTACACATAAAAATGGAGTCATATTACTAGCGTGAGCTTTCTAACAAAGATCTGGCACTCCAGGGTTGAGAGGGGAGCAGTACTGGGCAGCCAGGAGTCCAGTTCCATAATCTTCTGTCCCCTTCACTTCCCACCACCAGTCCCCACGCCCTTCTCTTGGTGATGAGAACAGATAAGTCACATCCAGGAGTGCTATCTATAGCCCTGCCTTAAAAATGGTGCACAGGAGGGGTGGTCAGAGCAAAGAAATCCTCAGGGCACCTGACTGACATCTTGTCTCTCTGAGGGACACCCTACTAACCATGGTTCATCAGGAGTTCTGCAGCCTGGGATACTCAGTCCCTGGTCTCCACCTCCTCAGAACAATCCTTTTCACTCTCAGAGCCCTGGGATCCACAACTGCACATTTAGATGGATGGTGCCCACTTCACAGATCATGTGGAGCGGTCAGCTGGACTGCATATAAAACTGTGTGGGCAGGATTAAGTGCAAGTCCAAGATGACGTTGTTTATCATTGGTGTGAGAACCTGGGGTGCACTGGTAGCTCAGAGGCAGAAGGTTTGTAAGTAATGGGACTGAGCAGCGTTTCTTGGGAAACCCAGGGCCCTCCTTGAGCAGGCTGAGGAAAGCAGGCTTCAAAGCATCACCACCCAGCCGACTTTTCTTCCCTGAGCCTGGACAGATCATTACAAGGTACTGCTGTGATGTAAGAATGGAGCCCTCAGCCCACTGGGCACCACATGTGTTCTGTGCTCTGCTCTGTTTTGCTTTGTTTTGGGGTTCTGCTAACTTTTTAGATGTAATAATAATTTGTGATGCTGAGCCTCCAAGAGCTAACAGCATGGAGTTTTACCAGAATGGTGTGTGTGTGTGTGTGTGTGTGTGTGTGTATGTATGTATGTATGTATGTGTGTATTTAACTTCAAGCAGCCAAAGCAAGGATCTAAATAGAATATTCCAGAGTGGTGTTTTCCTGCTGCAAGTCTAGGAGTGTGAATAGGTAGGCAATGGGCCAGGCTCAGCACGGCTGGCAGAGCCGATGGACTAGGACGAACCTGATATAGTCCCGAGCTGGCTGTGCATGTACTCCAGGGACCCCTGCATGTTTTTATAGGCATGTTGAGTGTCTGCCTTTTCTTTAAAAGTCAAGGTGTGGAGACTGGAGAGATGGCTCAGAGGTTAAGAGCACCACTGGCTGCTCTTGCACAGGACTCTGGTTTGGTTCCCAGCACCCACATGGTGGCTAAGAACCACCTGTAACTCCAGGGGATTCAACGCCCTCTCTGACCTCCATGGGCAATGCACGACATGGGTGCACTTACATACATGCAGGCAATACACTCATATACATAAAATAAAAATATAAAATAAATTTAAAAGTCAAGGCATAACAGTCTCAGCAAGGTTTCATACTACAAATTTTAATGCAGAAATAAAGGTGCTTTTCTTTTTTCTCCTTTTTCCTTTACTCCTTTTTAAATCCTGCTGCTCTTACTGTCCTCCCAAACTACAACTTTTCTCATAGGCTAAGAGACAGGTGTTTCCCTCAGGAAAAAGTAACTAAAAACTAGAGGCTAAGAACTTGGAAATCAAAACCACAGCAAAATAGCACCTCTTTCCAGAGAAGATGGCTGTTATAAAAAAAGGCAAAAGCCAACAAGTGCGGGCAAGGACGTTGAGCAAAGCCAACACCTGCACACAGCCAATGGGCATATAAATTAGTACAGCCTTTGTAGAAGACAGTAAGCTAGAACTGCCCTGTGACCCAGCAACACCACTGCTAGTGAGTTATCCGAAGAAGAGACTTCTGCACACCTGTGCTGATTACAACACTGTTGGCAGTGGCCAAAGGATGGAAAGTATTGATCAGCTCATGAATGGATAAAGGAAATGCAACATATATGTGTATTCATGTATGCAAATATACACATATATGTGAATGTGATTCACTAAAGAAATAAAATTGTATCATCACAACAGGGAAGAACTGCAGATCACAGAGTGAGTGAATTAAGTGAGGCATAGAAAAAGCAAGCCACACATGGTCCATTCGTGTGCGGGACACTGGGGCTACAGGAAGACCCTGTCTCAAAAAGACGGGAAAAAAAAAAAGTTGATCTCAAAGAAATAGAAGACAGAACGGCCATTAGCAGAAGCTGGGAAAACTAGGGCAAAGGGAACGATGGGAAAGGTTGAAGGTTGATCAGTGGCCACTGAGATGCAGCAAGACAGGACTCAGAATCTCTAGCTGCTATTGCGAAGTAGGAGGGCTGTGGATAGCAAGCCCTGTGCATGCCAGAAAGCTAAAAGCAAGCATTCGGAATGTTCTCATCATACACAAATGATAGATGTTTGATGATATAGATATGTTTATCTGGATTTAAATGTAAATGTGTACATATATATACACACACATATATATATCATGTGATCCCATTAGTATGTACAGTTTTAATATGCCAGTTAAGAATAAGCTGATTAATGAGAAAAAAGACACTAAGATTCTTTTTCTTCCTCCCCATCCCAATCACTGAGTCACAGAGTAATTTCACAGTCAGCTGTTACTGTAAAGCAGATCTTAAGCAACTTATGTCTCACTAAAATAATTTGAGACAATAGACAATATTGCAAGACGTGACTTAAAGTGTGAATTATTCTCTAAAGGCAATGCCAAGATAAGTTGGGGAGTAAATGTATAGTGTCTAAGCTGAATCGTCTTCTAGTTTTTACTTAAAACTTTCTCCTTTGTGTCTTTTTATTCTATACAGGACTTCTTTCAAGGAGAAAATATATCCACCTTGCCCTTATCTCTGTTTAACAACAGCTGCGTTGTAAGGACGAAGATGTCATACAGTGTAGAACAGCGCTGCCCTAATATTCTTAGCTTTCAATATTGAACACAGATTTCAGATCATATATAATAGCTTCCTAAGTTATCTACACCTGCAACTTGGGTTTAGGCTGGCCTCTTCGAACTCTTAGGAGTTCTTCCTGTTTTTGGAAGGTCTTTATCATCGGTTTTTAACTGGACCCGAGGCTTACAGCCTCTTCTTGTGAAAGCAAATTAATGAAGCTTCTTATCTCTGCAGACCCAGGGGGCAGGCTCTCCCCGCTCCTCCCCCAGCCACACCATCAGCAGGCCCATCCCCATGCCCATCCGATCAGCGTCTGCCTGCTCCACACCAACGCACACCCCTCAGGACTCCCTCACTGGGGTTGGGGGAGATGTTCAAGAGGCATTTGCACAAAGTAAGTGCTTTCTTTTGTGTGTGCACTGCTTGTACATTGCAAATAGTTCGCCAAGAGCCACTGAGTGGTAGAGCATCAAGTCTTTAGAGTTGTGTGTGCACACTCACTCGAACGGGCGTTCAATGTTTTGGCTTCTCGGGCCACTTTGTCATCTACAAAATTCACACTTGAGATATGCACGGCCAAGTTCAAAAAAATACCCTCATAATGTTTAAGTAAGTTTGCAATTTTGTTTTGTGCCACATTCATAGCTATCCTGGCCTGCATGTGGCTCCAGGTTATGGGTTGGACACCCCACTAGGGCGTCCTATGGCTTGTGTCAGAGCCTGGCCTGTGCATTTTAGAAAAACCTTATGTTGTTCTTTGCTTCACTATTCTGTCTTTTTAGGCTTCCACTCGCTCTCCCAATTTTAGTAAACTTTTACTTTTCAAGGCACAACTCTTTAAAATGTTTCCATGAAAATATTATGAATGTCGTACATTATGATACTTGTGATGCATGTCTTTTCTTCACATTACATCAAAGTCAAGATTGAGATTAAATAATCCTAGGTTTTTAGCTCTGGGGTGATGGAGGACATACAGTCATTTTATAGATTTCTCATTGAGCTTCCCTAAAGAGTTGCATCAGGGCGCTGGAGAGATGACTCGGCCACTAAGAGCACTGGCTGGACCTGGGTTTGGTTCCCAGCATCCACATGGTGACTAACAACCATCTGTCCATAACTCCAGTTCCAGGAAATCCAACACCCTCTTCTGACCTCTGCAGGCATTGCATGACACAGGTGCACTTAAATGCATGCAGGCAATACACTCATATACATAAAATAAAAATAACAAATAAAATGTTTTTTCAAAACGTTTCATTAGGGCTTCTGTCGTTCAAAGCTACAAGGTCTGCAAAAGAGAGTCAAAAAGGATGAAGAGTCAGCCTTCTCCACAGAGGAACACTGGCTCAGTTTCTTTTCCTGTTGCTGTGATGAAATATTCTGGCAAAAGAAACTTAGGAGAGAGAGCATTTATTTTAGCTCGCAGTTCAAAGCACAGTCCATCCTGGTGAGGAAGTCCAGGAAGCAGGACTGAAGCAGCTGCTCACTCACATCCTCAATCACAAGGGAGGGGGAAAGGGAGGCTCACTGACTGTGGTATTTCCCTCTCTCCATTTTATACAGTCTAGGGTTCCCTGCCCAGGGACTGGTCCCAACCACAATTACGATGACTCTTCCACATCAATTAACGTAATCAAGATCATTTCTCACAAACATTCTCTGAGGCTAACTCTAACCTTGATAATACCTCACAAACAAGAGGCCCATCACTCAGGCGATCCTAGATCCTGGCAAGTTGACATTAACAGTAACCAGCATTGCATCCCAAACCAAGTAACGTAAAACCTGCTCTTTCCATCAGTTTACAAGTTTACAGATAGTAAGAAACACTGTTCTCCTATACCCCTCCAATCAGAACAATTTCACCACTAGACGTGACTGGTGCTAATGCGTACGTCGGTCTTGAGTTTTGCTTATGCATGAATAGCTATGTTCATGTGTGTGTATACTTTATAGACTTCTTTTTCCACAAAAAATCAGGTCCTATGCTGCACCTTGATCTGCAATTTACATTTTCTTTAAATTAGAAATACATTACTAAGATCCTTCCAAGTCCTTGTTTGGCTCTAAGTTTTAAAGCAAAGGGGAATGTAAACAAAAAACAGAAACCAAACGATAGATGTGGTGAAACTGTCTCTATATGTGGCAATCAAATTTCCTAACTTCAGCTACACATGAAAATGTAGCAATCGGGGGCTGGAGAGGTGACTCAGTGGTTAAAACACTGGCCGCTCTTGGAGAGGGCCTGTGTTCAGTCTCCAGCACCCACACAGCAGCTCACAACCTCCTGTAACTCCAGTTCCAGGGGTTCTGATCCCCTCACCTGGCCTCTGTGAGCATTGCATGCTCATAGCACATTTACAGACATGCAGGCAAGACACTCATACATGTAAAATAAAAATAGATACATCCTTTTTTAATGTAGAAATTAGTAGGAAAAAGACATCCCCCAAACAAAAAGAGGTGACAAACAGAAGTAATATAAATTGTCCATAAAAATAAGAAGAGATGTTCAGCCTCACAAGTGATTGTAGAAACACAAATTTTAGAGTATCATCATTTGCCTAGCATATTTTTAAATGAATTTTTACAGCAATCATATCTAACGATAAGAGTGTATGGAACCAGCCCTATAATCTATCATGTACTGAGAAAACATCTGAATACATTTTAATGGGCAAACTGTTTTCTGTTATAATGAAAAACAGGGGATCCATATCAGGGCTCTTTCTTCTAAGCACTGAATCTCCATCAAGAGCTAGTTATGAATCTCACAGAATAGCTTTCTCTTAAAATTTTTGCAATAAGAAAGTGCCCCTGTTTTAAATAAAAATTTAAAGACCCTACAGTCTTTTAAATCAAGGTGTGCTTTTGGTTATGGCTGATATATTTACTTAGCCTCTTTGATTTTCTTTTGTAATATTTTATTTTATGTGTATGAGTGTATTTCAAACCCAGGTCCTCTGCAAGAGCAGTCAGTGCTCTTAACCGCCAAGTCATCTCTCCAGTCCCCCCACCCCGTCTCACTGATTGTCTAATTTAAATATTTTAATTATTGTACTCGCCTACCACTGCCTTCTGAGAAATGACAATGGTGTGACCTAAAGGCAGCCCCGCACCCACAAGACATTCGTGCTATGTACTTTTGTTTGTAAGTGATACTGCTGGAATCTTGAATCCTTTCTTCCAAAGATATTATAGTAAATAATGTGCTCTTTCACCTCCACCTCACCCACTCCCAAGCCCACAAATAACCATTTAACCCTCAGTATGCCGATAGGTAAGCATAATCTTTCTCTCCCATGGTATGCCAGCACAGTTTAAGTCCAGGTTAGGCTACCAGACGTGCATCTGCCCAATGTTGCAAGAGCAAGAATCTTGCCCCTTCCCCACCCTCTGGGAGCATTCAGTACATAGTGTCCCATCCTCAAAAGGTACCTGTTCTGGTAAGGAGGGCTCAGGAAGCCCTGATTGGGAGACAGAGTCTGTGCTGGCAGAGACCCAGGCCTGATCCAGTGTGCACAGTCACTAACTATGGCTGCTATCATAAGAGCTACTTGGAAGGTGCAGCTGTCCTAGAAAACCATACTTTTCATCTGTGTGGATTGTCCTCAGTAGGATGACCAACCTGCTGATTCACCCAGGAGCATATCAGCTTGTGCCAGTCCACCCAGCTGTATTAATAATGATCACTTTCTTTTTCAAATCTTCCAAATATGAATAATAAATTCTGTGAGTCTCTGTCATCCTCCGTGTCTTCTTTTATCAGAGGCCAGTGCAATTTTCTTTTTCATTCAGTAAAGAACCAATGCACTTCTGGAAAAAGAAGTCTTAAAAATGTTCTTGCTGTACGTTATCAGTAGCGATGAGGGACAAATGGCACAAAGACTGGGGGTAAAGGGAAGTCTGTGAAGTTTTAAATGATAATTACATCTTCATTGAAGGTTCAAGAAGAAATTTAAGGAATGACTTGCTAGTAGCTGCAGATTCCATCACTAACACCATGTCCTCGCTGGTGAAAGAGCTGAATTCAGGTGAGTCCCTGGTGCCCTCTCGCTTGCGTGCTTTCCACAGAAGGATCCGTAGGGCTAGGGGCCTCTTTTGGGGACCTCATTGTTGTCAAATATAAAAGGCTATTTTAACATTTTTTTAAAGATTTTTGAATTTGTGTGTATGTGTATGTGTCTGCACACGCGTATGTCTGCACATTTTGGGGCAGGGGGACACATGTGCCTGTGTATAAATTTCATGTGCAAGGAGTAGGCAAGGGGACAGCAGACCCCTTGGAGCTGTAGTTACAGCATTTTTAAAAGATTTATTTTATGTGTATGTATGTGTACGTGTATGTGGGTACCAGCAAGACCAGAAAAGGATGTTGTGTCTCCTGGAGCTGGAGCTATAGGTGGTTGTAAGCCACCTGACATGGGTGCTGGGAACCGAACCTGGGTTCTTTTTTTTAAATATTTTATTTATTAGTTTTATTTTATGCATATGAGTGTATCGCCTGCATGTATGTGAGTGCACCCATGTTGTGCAATGCCACGGAGGTCAGAAGAGGGCTTCGGATTCCCCTGGAACTGGAGTTAAGGACGGTTCGTAGCTGCCATATGGGTGCTGGGAATCGAACCCAGGTCCTCTGCAAGCACAGTCAGTGCTCTTAACTGCTGAGCCATCTCTTCAGCCCTGAGTTACGGGCATTTGAAGGGCATTTGTTACATGGGTGCTGGGATCCAAACTTTAGTCCTCATGTTATGCAGAAAATACTCTTAACTGCTGAGCCACCTCTCCAGCCCCCTAAAAGGATATTTTTAAAGTCTATACAAAGGCCAGGTGCAGAAGCACACACTTGTAATCTCAGCACTTGGGAGATTAAGGTAAGAGAGACTCAAACAAAGGCCTATGTGATAATTTGTTAATATATTTATATTTTTGGCAGTGTTGATATTCTGTTTGTTAGGATGCTAATCATGCATACTCAATGCAGAACATTTCCAAAATTAATATGTGATTAAATAAAGAATATTTTTAACTGACCTATAATCCCCAAATCCACATAATCTAGTATCCAGAGACTGAAGCTGTTTTGTAAACGCAACTGTTTTATTTTCACTCTGTTGATCTGGAGGCATGAGCATTTGAATGAGGCTAAAGTGGAACTTGTCATTGCAGTATATCCAAAGAGACTTTTCCCAGAAGCTAACACAAAATGGCACAAGGCTCTTCAGCCCTTGTAATGCACAGCTTTTAAAACCCGAGCAACATGAATGTGCAAGCGAGTATCTTTCATTCCACACTGCTGCTGTGTCAGAGCTCATTTTAAACTCATAAATTCCTACTAAACTTAACTTGTCCTCTCTCTTCATGGGACGCATTTGTTCACAAGTATCTCAGGAAGGAGAAACGGGAAAATCTGAAGTGGAACTCAGGCCTATCGGTTTCCCTCATGCTCAATATAAACAATTGTTTCTAGACACAGTCTTCTCACAACTTCGTCTCCAAATATTGCCCATGTGACGGTGCCTTTTGTACGCTCTGAACTTGAGTTGCCTACAAGACACTGGGTTGTGGCGCACAGAAGGAGCCAGGGGGTAGGAATGAATGTTTTAACACCAAAACAAGAAATAGATGGCGCTCTGAGAAAGGGCGGTATTTTCAAAGGAAAACCTTACCACTTACTGACACATCTCCATCCGTTCCTTCAGACAGACCTTGCAAGACTTTTTCCTGGCAGGGCTATGGGTCCTCTCCAGTCACCAGATGCACATGCTGTACACATGCAGTACACATGCATACATTCAGCCTAACGCTCATACACATAAAATAAAAATTAATGAGTCTTTTTGTTAAAAGGATGACCAAACAGAATAAAATGACATCATGATTAACAGTACTTAGCAACTGCCCATAATTAAAAGACTGTTTTTACTGAGGAAATCTCAGACTTCATTTATGTTCCTAATTCCTTTACATACTAAGTGACCATAATATTTTAGGTTTTAATTAAATTAAAGTAATTATTAAAGTAATATTAAGCAATAAATTATAAAATTTATGAGTAATAGTGAACAAAAGTTGCAATTTTAATGAAGACTTTTATAGAAGAAAAAGTAGATGTTTTCAGAAGTCTGTTAGTAAAACGCAAAAAGTCCTCGGGATGTTTCTGAGTTAGAAAAGGAAATGTTGGGGCCAGAGAGATGGCTCAGTGGGTAAAAGGCAGGTGACACAGGGCAGGAAGACCAGCTCTATCAGGTTGTCTCCTGACCTCCACACCCACACTGTGGCATACACATACATGCAACTCACATACACACACACACTACACATTCACACATACCGCACACATTCACATGTACACATACACGCATATGTGCACACAGCAAGCACAGCACACATAAACATACAAATACAGCACACACAAATAATAGAGACAAAGATTTGTTGTCACTATCTTTAATTACATGTATATGCATGTGTCTGTGTATGGGTTCATGTGAGTGCTGGAGGTGTTGGATATCCCGGAACTGGAGTTTCAGGCAGGTGTGAGCCATCCAGCGCGCATGATGAGAACCAAACTCTCATCCTCTACTAGAGCAGCAAGTGCTCTTAACCTCTATGTCTCCATCCCCAAATAAATAAATATTTAAAACGGAGGACGGGCTGAACCCTGCACTGTTTTACGGTAATTCGTACCAGTCATAACCTCCCTAACGAGCCGCTCTTTCTTCTATTGCACCCGTAAGAGGTGGCGAGCGAAACCGAAAGTAACGTGGATTCTGAATTTTCGAGGACTCAGTTTGAGGATCTGGTTCCATCACCAACTTCTGAAAAGGCTTTTCTAGCACAAATCCACGCCCGAAAACCCGGGTACATTCACGGTGCAGCAACTACAAGCACCACGCACAGCGACGCGTGAGTATGTTGTTCTTGGTGGTATTTTCTATGCACAAGAGAAGTTTTTAGGAAGTCTTCTGTGAGACTGAGTCCAGCCTGATCTACATAGTAAGTTCCAGACCAGGTGGGGCTACCGGGAACCTGTCTCAGAAAAGAAAAAAAGAAAAAAAGTAGTGCAGTTTCCCTTTCTGCCAGAAGAGGCACAAGAGTGCTGCGTTTAAACAGTATTGGGGCTCCTCCTCCTAAACTACTCTCCAGAGACTGTCAATAACCTAAAACAACCAGTGCTTATTGAGAGCCTGGGTCACCCAGGGCACATGGTGTAGACGCCCCTCAAATTACAATGAAGACATATTCCAATAAACTGTGTAAGTCGAAAACACATCTACTACACGGAGACAGCACATCTGCTCTCAGCAGCATCACACGTTGTACATAGGGTACCAGACTACTGCTCTTCTAACCCGTCCAACTGAGCCAGAGATGCAACTTGCTGCTGCCACCAAATCACAACATGATCTCATACACATATTGCTACCCTGGGGGAAAATCTGAATTCAAATCACAATGTTCAGTTTCCAGTAAATGTAATAATTGTTTTTCTATCATGGTAAAACTGGAAACCAAGCCCTTCTAGTTATGAATCATTTGTAGTATTTTTTTAAAGAGTTTCTTCTAGAACACAAAAGTTAGTTCCAGAAATAAGCCATCTTGTCTTTATAATTTACTGCCTTTGCAGTTAGAGGACACCCACAATGCTGGAAAGGCCTCTGTACAAAATGGGCATAAACAACATTCAGACAAGCATTTGGAGAGAAATCAGTAGATATATGAAATCTCTTTATAAAGAAACCCAGTTTGATTAATTTGTTAAAAATGAACAAAGCTGACCTTCAGAAACTTTGGGTAAAGGGTTTTGTCACAAACACCTGGGAATTCTTTTCCTGTCTGGATAGAAATTGTTGATGGGCAAGGCAGCTCCCTCAGCGTACACAGCCCACAGTTCTCGAGGCTCACATGCCGGGCTCCCTATTTCAGAAACTTAGAGCTCTAAGCCTAGGGGACTAGAGGCACCATGCTTTCAAAGTTAACTCTGGGCTTAACGTGCCAACACTCAGGGGCTATAGCTACAGCTCCTGAGCTTTGAATGGCAGGGCTTCAGCTGTTTGATGCTTGACATCTCTCTCCAGTCTTGGCTCCCTCAGCTCTTCACGCTGCTCATCTCCCACGTGCTTCCCCACTGTCCATTGCCTCCCACCACATGCTCCACCACATGCTCTGCTCTAGCTCCACACAGATGCTACCCTTGGGCAGTCTCTGGCGCTCTTCTGCTGCCTCCTAAGCCCACCGTTTTGAGCATCAAGGGCCTCAGCTTCTCAAAGTCTTCACCCTCCTCCTCACCCCTGCTACCTCTGCAGCACAGAACTCTTAGTGCAACCAGCTCAGCCAAGTGTCCCGGCAGCGATGAGGCCACAAGGAGGCAAAAGACCATTCGGTAAAAGCATTTATTGAGATAATGCCCAGGAGAGAAGTCTCTCAGATGAACTTGACAAGGAGACCGACCATATCTAGAAAAGGGGCATGGTACCCTTGCATACAGATTATAATTTGTAATTCCACCAATCAGTTTTGCAAGTGTATGGCTTCCAGTTCTACCAATAATGAGCCAGATGGATGGATGGATGGATTGATGGATGGATGGGTGGATAGGTAGGTAGACAGGTAGACAGAAGATGATAGATAGACAGATAGATAGATAGATAGATAGATAGATAGATGATAGATTTTATAGATGATAGATAGATGATAGATGATGATAGATGATAGATGATGATGATAGATAGATAGATAGATAGATAGATAGATAGATAGATAGATAGATGGATGGATGATAGATAGATGCTCATATTGCACCGATCATGGGCTTTTTGTTGAGTCACTCAGCAGTTGTCCCCTTCCTTGCATCCTAAGTGAGGACAGCTACAAATAGAGCAAGATCATTTAGTGTTACTGAGTTCTAATGTTACTAGAGTTCACTGAGGCTTGTCTTGCCTAGAATGGAATGGAATCTTCCCAAGCCAGTGCAGGCTGCTTGGAGTAGTCGTGGCTGGAGTAAGGTCTCCTGAAACAGACACTATGGTATTCGCAGCAACAGTGAATGCAGCTGCCTTTGGCAGCTACAGTGGAGTTGCTTCAGAGTGATCATGGAGTGTTCAAAATGGGCAGACTTCCCTACCTGCAGTCCGGTCAGTTGTCAGAGAAGAGGCTGCTGGGCCAACAGCTCCCTCAAGGCAGCCAGTGATAAGAAGAGCCTATCAGCTGTTGTTCAAAATATCAAACAGCCTGATCATAACAGTTTTGCTCAGTCATAGGAAAAAATTAAAAGTTGCTCACAATAAAACCTAGGTATTAACATTCTTAGCAGTATTCAACAATGCATCGCTCTTAGCTATGTACCTTTATGGAGAGTGTGTCCAATGGCTCTGCCTCATTTTAGGTTTCTGTAGCTTGGTTGAAGCCAGCAGAATCAGTAATGTTCCCCCCGGACTTGCTGTGACCCTGGGTCAGCTCTGAGTCATCAGCAGAGGAAGTCGGTGGGCAAAACTAGGACCCAGCTGCAGAGCCCAGCTTGGGAAGGAACAGTGTAAATAGAAGGCAGAGGAGAAGTGAGGTTCTGGGGGCCAGAGTTATGAGAAATGTGGCTGAGGGATAGGAAAGAGGGGTGCTGAGCACTAAAACATGACAAAATGATGATGCTTAATGTGAAAAGTACTTCAGACTAGTCTACAAAAATAAACGGGCTGTTTAAATACCCAGCAAAGAAACTAAGCAGAAGCCCTTCTGGTGTTTTGGCTCTTGTTCCTCAGAGTAGTAAAAGACCCACAGTAACGGACTTACAGAGTCCTGGTTTGAAAGCCAGCTGTGAATAGCGGTCCTCTAAGAGCCTAAGAGCAGAACAGAGCAGTTACAACATAATTTAACCTGCACGTGTGGCTGGTTCTAATTTTGTTTTCTTGTCCTTCTAAAGTTCTGAATTCTTTGATTTGCTATTCAAAATGGTGAATTAACATCTATCTTGTCTAGTAAATACACATCTAGTTGGCTTTTTATTATTATATATTTTCATATTAGTAGCTACCTAACATTACTTATCCCAGTCCTAAAATACGAGATTATTGAAGTCCTCTCCATCCCAACCTGTTGTTCTTTGGATCCCAGGGACCAGGACCAGCTTTCAGCAAATAATTTAGTAGTTGAAAAGGGAGAGTTGGGGCTGGAGAGATGGCTCAGCAGTTAAGAACACTGGTTGTTCTTGCAGAAGACTTGGGTTCAAATCCCAGCACCCACATGGCAACTAACAACTGTCTGTAACTCCAGTCCCAGGGGATCTTACAGCCTCTTCTGACCTCCTTGGGCATTGCATGACATGGGTGCACTTACCTACATGCAGGCAATACACACATACACATAAAATAAAAATAATAAATATTTTTTTAAAGAAAAGGGAGAGTTTACAGAGAGGTCTTACAGACCCCTTTAGGCTGGCTCCAACTGCCCCCAAAATAGTATATCCCACAGATAAGCACAAACAATGACATTTAATGTCCAACTCAAAAACTTCTCCTTAGCTGATCTTTTCATTTTATGGGATGTTTTAATACCTATACTGTCTAAAAATGTGCTATTTTTTACTACTGAGAATACTGTAGTCTTACGACTTTAGTGGTAAATCTATGTTCAGCCCATAAAGTCCTTTACACAGTTACACATTCTGAGGTGAACAGATGGAGGAAAAGTCTCACATTAGTGAGTAAAGTCATTCTTATCTCTTTATTTTATAATGGAATTAGACAATATGAATGGATTTTTCAGATTCAGGACTGGTAAAAATTTGTAAGATCAAGAGCTATGTGTGTGATAAGTCCTGTAAAAATAAAATGTGTATGTCAACATAAAGAAAATTAAGTCATGAACAAATTTCCTTTAAGAATTATTTCACTAGGAGCTGGAGAGATGGCTCAGCGGTCAAGAGCGCTGACTGCTCTTGCAGAGGACCCGGGTTCAATTCCCAGCACCCACATGGTGGCTACAAACCATCCTTAACTCCAGTTCCAGGGGAATCCGAAGCCCTCTTCTGACCTCTGTGGCATTGTACGACATGGGTGCACTCACATACATGCAGGGAATACACTCATACACGTAAAATAAAAATCATAAATTTAAAAAATTATTTCACTAGAGGGCTCACTCTCCTTTTGAATTCTATTTTAAAAGAACTCTCATGTCAGGAAACTGTATATTTCCTGAAAAGATAAATTTGCCTTTTTTAAGATTGTAAAAGATTTAAAGAGCTAACTATTCCTATAAGCCCTATAAAAACATAAATCACCAATGACTTCCAGACTGCATAGGGAAAGGTTGTATGAAAACATCTTGATCAGGTAGTTCTTCAAACTTCAGGCTTTTTAGAAAGTTTTCCTTTAGGTCAGAGAAGACAGGAAGTAAACAGGAAGGTTAAGGGGAAAAGCATAGAGAACACAACCACAGCCAGCACAGGAGCGCCACTCGGTCTTCTCTCTCGGGACTTAACTCCAGGAAGGCTAAGGGGAAAAGCATAGAGAACACAACCACAGCCAGCACAGGAGCGCCACTCGGTCTTCTCTCTCAGGACTTACTCCAAAAATGTCTGCGCTTCATTCCCAGAGTTACAGAAGATGGGGACCCCTATGTCCAGCCTGAGGATGAACCCTATGAGAACGACTCTGTCCGCCAGCTGGAGAATGAGTTGAAGATGGAGGAGTACCTGAAGCAGAAGCTGCAGGACGAGGCCTACCAGGTACAGCTGGCGCCCGGCACCTACCTGCCTCCACCGTCCCCAGGAACTGGGTCTTTCCCATCCCTGGTGAATTCAGTGCTTCCCCTTCCTTTCCATCCCTCCTCTTCCAGAACACTCTGGTGGTACTCCTCAGTCCGTGTGTTCCAGACAGTAACATCTCAAATGTAACTTGTAGCTGTCTCTTCTTCCAAATTCTGACCTGGAAGGTGAAAAGGGCCGGTGACTAACAGTCCAAACTCCTCCAGGGTCACTAGGAAAGATGCCTTTTCTCATAAGTTTAAAAAACAGGCGTCTAGGGAGATGGCTCAGTGGATAAAGCATTTGTGAGCAAACGTGAAAACTGGAGTTGGGGTTCCCAGAATCCATGTAAGTGCAGGTGGGTATGGGAGCCCAGCCTGTAATCCCAACACTCTGAAGGAAAAGATCCCTGAAGCAAGCCGGTGAGCCAGACTAACTGAATCAGTGAGCTCCGTGTTCCATTAAGAGAGCCTATCTCAATGAATAAGGTGGAAAGTAATAGAGGGAGGCTCCTGACATCGACTGCACACACATGCATACACCTGCACACACACGTGTGCTCACACAGAGACACACATGCATACATGCACACATGCACAGCACACACACACACATGCTCAAGCAAAAATGGAAACTCATGTATAAAATTACCAAGTTAACAAATAATAAGGATGGAAAGAACACGGCCCAGGAAGAAGGAGCAGGTACCATTATACTTCCTCTCGAGGTATGGTCTCTGCCTTCCTCATTACCAAACATAAGTAGGCTGATGGCAAAACCTAACACAATATTGGGGAAACTGCCCGCTCTTGTTCAGCAAGGTGCAGATGGACAGACATCGAGTCAGGCTGGAGTGTTCTAAGCCATCCGAGAATTCAAACACCGTAGCTCATGCAATCAAGAGCAAATGCAATTACTGGCTCTTCCCCAAAGCAATACGTTTGCCCCATGGGGGAAGCTGCCTGCTTTTCCACAGGTGTATTAATAAGCACTGAGAGTTCGGGGCGAGGATGTTTGTCGGGCAGAGACCAGCTGGTCTTTCCCCGCCCCATGGGTTACTGTTTTCCCATCAGACGTTTTGTCAAATGGCCACACAAGCTCTCTCTGCTGTCTTTGGTCACCGCTGGTTCTCTCTCACTCTGGCAGGGAAGGACAGACAAGCAGAGGGAGTGACCTGTCTCTGGCTTCTCTGATATTTATAGACTAAGCCTTGAAATACTTTCCCAAGAAGACTGTATCAAGAAAGTGAAGCCCATTTACCCCAACAATGAAAATAAAGTGTTGCTTAAAAATGACCCTTTAGCCTTTTCAGTTTAACCAAAACAGGATGCAACCAAAATGATACTTCCAGTCATATCAAAAAAAGAGAAAGAAAAAAAAAGTGGTGTGTAGAGCCATGTACCTATCTACAGAAATGGTCACTGATGGCAAAGGCTTGGAGAATGCCCGTTCTGTGGGACTTCTGCAACTCGTCCACAGGAACAAACCAGTTAGGCATCTCATGTAGCTCTGTCCATGGAGAGATGTGACCAGATCACTGATGTCCTGGTTGGTGCTGTTAAAGATGCCCATTCTGCCTTCCTCCAAGCTCGTATCAGTTTCTGGGTTTTAGTGTCAACAGTAACTGAAATTCTACAGGTTCTTTTTTTAATAGAAAGAAGCTTCTCCAGTCCATAACAAGTATTAGACTTTTTTAATGGGTTAGGAATTTAACCTTAATATGAGTGAAGAAGGGGGGAATTCTGTTGATGACATAAGATCTAGTTGGGGTTTTTCCATGCCCAGTAAATCTCCAGTTCCTTTCTCTCTCTTGCCTCCCCGTGTCTGATGGCAAGGGAGGGGCCCATGTGTCCTCATTCAAACGCACACCCTGGAGTGCCGCGGAGTGGTTTTCCTCGAATGCTGTGTGAGCTGACGGTAACTTGGTGGATCAGACTCTCTCTCTCTCTCTCTCTCTCTCTCTCTCTCTCTCTCTCTCTCTGCATGGCTTCCAGCCAAATAATTCACCAGCTTGACTGCATCACCAACTTGACATGTCACCTTTCTTGTTTGTGTCCTTTGTCACCCACAGGTCAGCTTGCAAGGTTGAATGCAATGTCCTTGTGTTACTCTCCTCTGAAGTAAGTACCTCTTGTTTGGGAGGAAGCATGAATACTGTCCGCTGAGTTCTGACAACTTGCAGCCTAAGTTCACAGTCCTTCTGATAGGTGTCTCTTTCTATCTGATGTGCCACATCCTCCTTCCCTGCTGCTATTAGAGAATTATCTACGACTGTACCGTTCATTGTAATCCAGTGGCAATTCCCCACTCATCCCTGGGAGTTGACTTTTTACTTTGTCGATAAGGGCACTTGACACAGAAGCTTTCATGGCACCTGAGATGCACCAGAAGCATTCTGTGGTCACATCACAAAATGGCGTCAAAGACCAAGCTACCTCAAGCATCCCTGGATGAGTCAGAACCTTAGTCCCCAAAGACCCAATGTGTGTACCTTAACAAGCGACAGCAAAATCAAGTATTCTTAAAGAAACAAATCAAAGGAAAAATTCTAAAGCCTTATGTCTTGGGGGTGACTAATTCAAACCAAACCCACTGTAGAGTTGAGTCGGATAGGAAGCTCATTTAAGATGTTCTTTGTGGCTCGTTGCCCTACTCTAAAAGTTTACCTAGCTGTAGGTCAAACTCCCAAGCAGCTTTTTCTTATTATAGAAAGAATAGTTCTTAACTGGCAGTTCACTCGAGTGTCATAACCTGAGGCTCGGACTTTGGATTCTGTCAGGCCCACCTTTAAGTATGGGTTTCACCAACATCTAGCAGCAGAATTTAGACAAATATTAAGCTTTTATTAGCTTCATTTCCTTCAGTACATCATACCTTCACACCTACCTCACACACAGGAGATGGGCCCTCTGTGTCAGCTGACACAGTGACAGGCTCTATGGGCAAGCACATGTACACCTGCCCTATCCTCCACACCCAACTCGGGACCCAGGAGCCGCTACAATGCTCACTTAAGTGTGTGGGAGTCACAGCACTCGGGACAGCTTTGTTGTCTCAGCTTTTATAAACAGGCCAGGACTCAGCTCCATGTAATGGTTGGAGAGACCATAGACTCCACTGTCCCATAGGTCTAGATGGTCTTTCTGACTCCAGCTCATGGCTACTAGCTGTCCCTTGTTACAATTCTAAATCAATGTACTTCCCACAGCTGTCTGACTGGCATGGCCAAAGGATTTGTATCTACTTTAATTATGTAATCCTTCCCAGCTGTGGACCCCGTAAGTCCAGTGTGCTGCCAATAATGAACTCTATCAAATTCACCTGCTATTTTTTTAAGTGGATACATACTTCTTCAGTGACATCTCAGTTAGTAATGAATGCACATAGGCTCAAACACTATGAACATCCTGTCTGTATCCTCAGGTTAAATAAAGCTAGTAAAATTGGAATGACAGCATCTACCACATAAGCTGTGAAGGGGGGCGTCTCACCAACCTCACTCTGCTGTGCCCCCTCGTATTTGAGAACGCAACATCACATGTTCTCCTAATTCACCATGGCTATACTGAAAGAAATTCCCAGGAGACGTTTATGAAACTATTTACCCCAGTTATAACAAACATAGTCCCTAAGGAACAGGCCTTTTCCTTTAATAGCATTTTCTTTCTTAGCTCCAGCAACTTACTCATTTTTGTCCTGTGTATTATTTAAACATTAGGGGCTATTTCATAGAAAAACATTTTTAGAGCCTAGTAAAATGGCCTTGATATAAACCTACATGAGACATTATATTGTTTTATTTTGGTACCTGAAAGCTAATTTTTTTGTGCCTTAAACATTCTTAGGCCATGTTTTAATCTTTTCTTGGAAATTTGGTAGTGAGAAATGGAACCATTGTGATTTCTGCTGTTCACAACATTGGAGACCGTGCCTAGTCTGCATTCCTCAGGAGGCTAAATATCAGCCCACCTGTTGCTAATTCAGCCAGCTAAGCAAAATCATTTAAACTCTGATAGAGTGCTATAAAAGTTATTTCACCTTTATAGCTACTGGTTTTTTACTGAGGCCAAGAAATACAATTGAAATTTTAGAATGTTTATCTAATTAATGGACTTTCTGACTATGCTGAAAGACCAAAGTTTAATCCCAAAATTCAGCCTCTCTTAACCAAGGGTCCTGAGTCAGGCAGTCACCAACACAGAGCCCTGTGTAGATGAAGGGCAGAATATGAGACCACAGAGACGTAGAAGGTGCATTTTCTGCTCGAGTTGGGCTAAAGGTGTATTTGGAATCAAACACACCCTTACTAACAGTGGAGAGAGTGGAGGGCCTAGTTTCTTGCTGTGCAGCAAAGCACCTCTGAAGAAATAGATGTCATAATAGAATTCAGCTTAGTGCCCTTCAGTATTTCATTTGACCTTTTAACATCTTTGAGTTATACCTTTTCCATCCTCGGTCCACATGAAACACAGCTCTCTTTGGCCAATAGCATCCTAACATCATAATTTGGGGGACTGGACCGAGGAAAGTGTTCTTTAAAACAAAATCACCACAGCATTCTGATAGTAAGTCATAGGCCTCACTGAACTCGTTGTCCAAAGAAAAACAGGCTTCTGCTTATGTGACTTTAACTCTCCATGAGTCTTGTGGGCAGCTTGGGAACCTCTTTAAAAAACTCCCTGCCCTCTCTTCCAGAAAATACACAGTGTCCAAGACATTTGTCCCTAGTTTTTGGATGAGCTACAGTGTGTGTGTGTGTGTGTGTGTGTGTGTGTGTGTGTGTGTGTGTGTGTGTATGTTTAAAATGGGGGATCCTAAGGGACTTAGCTGTAATTTAGAAACAGCTTTCATCTGTTAAAAAAAATTACACATTCCTTATTCCCAGGCAAGCTATAGTCAGACAGACGGTGACAGTACCATGAGAGCCGGTGATGGAGAGACCCATACAGAGGAGGAGACAGCAGCCTGGCAGGACCTCGCCGAGCGCGGAGCCACCACATCCACAGCTCCCGACAACCCCCACCCCTAAAGACGTGTTCTGATACCTGTAGTGCAGCTAACTTTTTGTTCTAAGATTTGTAGTTCATAGGTGTGTGTTTTAGAAGGGGGGCAGAGGGGCACAAGACTTCTGTTCCAAGCTAATTTATCAACTCCGTCTTCTGTAACATGGCTCCTCCCTGGTTCAAAACAAACATACACGGGTTGAAAACCTGCTGCTGTACACATGACAGTATTAACAAGCATCTTCAACCTTTGCACATGATATTGAACCTGTTCAGTTTACAGTGACACTACTAATACTGTTTGTAGCTGCAAGTTTGATTTCTGGATTCTTTGAGATTTTAGCAAAAACAGTTTATTATACACTTTACATTTTTTTTCCACAACAATAGGAAAAAAACAACCACTTACAATAGGATTTGGTTCCTGGGTGTATAGACTCAGAGCCCAGAAGCCAGGAAGGGTCATTGGCCTGCCCCTGACTCCAAGTCCCCATGACTTGAACCAAACACCAGGAATAATCTATTCTTGCAGACTTCTTTCCAACTTTAGGTTGTTTTCTTTCAAGACACTCTTAACGAGTCAGCCATAGACTTTACTGTAAATACTTTTTCCAAATATCATATTCAAAAACAGAGAAAGACAGCATTCAAATGATATAGAATCTAGTTTTTAAAATCAGCACAGATCTTCTTAACAACTGTGAACTATGTTTTGAAATACTCGTTACTAAAGCTGTTTATAAACCACAGGTGCCATAAGACCCCCAAATGGACTCCAGTTATCTGCGCTCTTCCACGGTCCTGCCCCTCACGTTGAACCCTTAGAAAGCATGTCTTACACGGCACTCTCCACTGACAAGTTCCTTCATCGGGTTGTCCCGAGGCCTTCAGCTTTAAATGTACAGGCTTAAAGTGCGCTTGCAAACGCTTGCTCCCCTTTTCTTTCTGAATGTTGATTGCCTTAGCTGGCCACCTGTCTTTCTCTGCATGCAACCTTGTGTGGTCATGTGAAAGGAGACAGGCTCCGCCACGTGCTGTTGGGATTTCACACTCAGTATGAAGCTGAAGTGTGAAAGAATGGTCAAAGACAAGAGAATAATGGTCAGTGGGTGGTCCTTCATGAGGCCCCTCAATAGAGAGACCTGGAAAGTTCTTTCCCCTTAACGATTCTGGGGAAAATAAAAAGTAATCATTTGTTTCAAGATCTGATACGGAAGGAAAAGAAAAAGCCAGGAGCATGTTGGTTATATTAAACTAGCAATCTCTCTGGAATTCCTTCTTTATTTCCTTTAAAAGAAAGACGAGAACCCACTGCAGAACAGGAGTCCTCAGAATGTGTCCCTCAGGCCACTATCAGCACCACCTAGAAAAGTCTTAGAATGCAGATTCCGAGAATATAACTCAAGCCCACTGAGTCAGATGCTCTGGGCTCTGGGCCTATCAATCCATCTCCTAATCAGCCTTGCTGGCAATTCTGATGCATGCTACAAGTTGAAAATTATTGTTCTATAGTAAAGTCACATAGTGAAATCTCTGAAAAAGGCCTTATCCAGGCTGGGGCAAAGTACTTGCCTAGAATGCAGGAAGGCATGAGTGCATATTCAACAGCTGTCTAAGCCGGGCATGGTGACACATGCCTGTGATCCCAGCACTCAGGAGATAGAGGCAGGAAGATCAGTTCAAGATCATCCTCAGTTGCATAGCAAGTTCAAGGCCAGCCTTGGATACAGGAGACCCTGTCTTGAAGGGAATAAAGGAGACTCATTCGTAATAAGTAAGAAAGGTTCTGAGTCGACCTCAACACTTCAGTGATTTAATTTTACTTACCAGACTGGCAAAATCTTACTCCTACCCACATACCTGGTCTATAGCTGGTGGGCAGTGGCTGAGAACCCACTTCCTGACCTCTGTGTCTGCAGAGGCCTATCAGGGACTCCCTCCTCTGCGTTTGGTCAGAAACCATCTCCTTGGCTGCCCTTTAGAACAAAATGACTAGGCTTGGGGATAGCAGAATGCTTGGTTGGCATCAGGAGAGGACCCCATGCTGTTCCTGGGCATCCTTCTCTCCAGAGAATCCGCCTCATACATGTCCCTGAGCATAGGCTAGCACCAAAGTCGCACAAGGGCACAGTTCTCTGATCTCTTTGCACAGGTAGATTCTGTTGCGGGTGTTGTTGGTGTGTCTTAATGCTCATCTCTCTTCCCCTGCCCCATCGTCTGTGAAGCCACACCTCTCTAGATGGTGCAGGTGGCCACTGGTGCCTCATACTCAGTACTGAAAACCACTACATCCCAGCTACCTACATTACTGTCAGCTCGAAATCAGAGCCAGGTAGTACTTAAACTCAGAACTCAGACCCTGCAAGTGGCCCCCAGCCACTGACTGGACTGAGCTGACCTATGTTGTCTCTTTGTGTTTCTACATCAAAACGTGTGTCTAAAGTTGGAACTGTTCTACTGAAAACCTTCCCCCTGGTCATCGCTTCCATTACCAACCAGCTCCATCAGAGTGTCGACTGTATCATACAAAGCCATTGCAAGGACTCTGGAAACTGCCGCCAATGACCTATTTCTCACTAACCAGCCGCCTTTTCTTTCTCTCAGCTCCACGTCAGCACTGAGACCAGACTCAAGCACCCCTGTCCTGTAACCGAGACAAAATGGCGTGTGTTGTTTTGGGGTTTTGTGATCATTGGTGGATTTCTTTCCTTGGCTCTCCAAATTTACTTTTGGGGTCTGTTCTAAGTGAAAACCCAGCAGGTTTCATCTGTCTTGTCCATTAGCTACAACTGTATCTCACAGAAACTGTTTCTTTCTTGTCCCACAATGAATTGCACGTCTATCTCCATCAGAGCTGATGGCCTATTAATGAGCACGGGCTAACAGAGCCAAGCCTCCCCCACAGCACCACAGTAACGGAGATGGTGAACTCTACTGAATAGGATTCAGGAATCAGTTGTGGTTGGTCAGGATGGAAGTCGGGGTAAGTTTGGTTGGTCAGAGGGAGATGTGCTGGAGATTGTAAAAATATGGATTCTCGGATAATCTACGATAAGGCAGGGAAGGTTCATCTGTAAGTAGTAATGTGAACTGAATTGCATTGAGTGTGGCCTTTGTTGTGATATATACTATGTATTTTCTTATATGCATGAGCCAGACTGTTGCAGCATAATTTAGCACTGGTGTCTGCTCTTGTTTTCACCGTCTTCATCCACCCTTATTCGTTCTTGGCTGTTAACTGTAGGTAGATCTTGTAAATATAGCAGCATTGGGTTGCTGTGTTCACTTTGGTTCAATTCCACACAAGGAACCGCAAAGAAGAACCCCACTGTGTCCTCAGAAAACAGGGCATTTTTACTTTGAACCTCCCCCAGAAAGGACAAAAATCAGAAGTATTCATTATATCTTGAGGCTACTAGAAGACATTTTAAATTATAACTACTGTAATTTGAACATTGAAACAATCAGTTCAGAAACACTAAAGATTTCACAATATTCATTGCTAACAGAACTACTACGGTATGATTTCTTTTGTATTGCTGTTAAGTATTGTTCTGTGTGGATGTGTGTGTGTATATGTGTGTATGTATGTATGTATGTGTGTGTGTTGGAACCTCCTGGGGACATGTTATATTTTGAAGTGATTAAACTATTTAATTGTGTGTCTATATTTTGGAATGGAATTATTTCTTCATTAAAATGTTTTTAAAAACACTATATCTTGTGTTTTTATTCCTTGGTTAAAGTGAATCTTTTTTAATATTTTACTTATTATTTTTATGTTTATGAGTGTATTGCCCACATGTATGTGAGTGCACCCATATTGTGCAATGCCGCAGAGGTCAGAAGAGGGCATCGGATACCCCTGGAACTGGAGTTAAGGATGGTTCTTAGCCGCCATGTGGGTGCTGGGAATCAAACCTAGGTCCTCTGCAAGAACAGTCAGTGCTCTTAACCGCTGAGCCATCTCTCCAGCCCCTAAAGTGAATCTTTATTAGAGCAGCAAAATGGAATCTGTTCAAAGAAGAAAGATGGGTTAGTTCCTGCTGCCTGGTACATGAGCTACTGATGGACTGCGAACAACTGAGGTAAATAGTTCACCTTCTCCTATTAAAAAATAATGAAAAACATGCCAAAACTTAAGATCTAAATGGTAGGGTCATAGGTGGTATTTTTAATGTAATCACCATGCCATTGTATTTTACCCAGGCTCCCTGCAGTAGATATTTACAGTAGGGTGGGTAGATAGATTTTTTAAAAGAAACCTGATTAAGTCTCCTTGATGTGCTCATAAGGCTTTTTT